GCAGCATTAGCACCATGGCTCACAATGAGCCAACCTTCTCTGATTTGGCGCTGCCGCCCTCAGAGGAGCGCGATCCAGTTATGACGTGGATGTGGTCTTAAGCAGAAAATTCAAGTTAGAGTCAGTATGACATCTCAAAAGGGATCAATTCTGTTAGAGTTGTCATGTGTTGGTCTCGTCGTGGAAATATGCAATCAGGAAAAAATGCCAAACGGTACCTGTTTCCTCTGCCCAGAGCTGTCCTTGGGGGGGGGGCACTGGAGTCAAGCTCGGGAAGACAGAGACACGAGGGGTGCACGTCGGGATCTATGTGGCCGACAGATGCAGCTCTTCCTCCCGGGAAGCCTGCATCCCACCTGCCTTCACTCCCAGCGTCCTGTGAATGCTGGGCCCCTGGGAAGCAGGAGCAAGCACAGCTCAGACTCGTTAACAAGTAGACACGGGCGGCTCATGGCAGGTTGGTAGAGCCACCAGGCACCTTTGGAACACGTGTGGAGCTACTGTTCGTCAATAAACCCCTCAGAATTAAGAGTGTGGGCAGAAGGGAGTTCACGCAGCAGGGCTGAAACCATGGTCCCCAGAAAGGCCTGCTGGCCAGGTCAGCCCGCAGCTGGAGTCTGGGAGTGTGGATTTAGGGAGGGTCCCCCCACCCCCAACTCTCAGCACTGATAAGAGTGGCACCTGGTGCCAACACTATGCAAACAATGTGGTTGCTGCAGAACACCTGCTTTCCTCCTGGAACTCTGGGCTTTGGGTCCAGGCTAGACAGAGGACGATGCTCACGTGACCAGCCCTCAGGAAAGCCCTGGGTGCTCCGTCCCTAGCGCACGTCCCTGGTGGACAACACATCACACATGCTGTCACAACGCACTGTTGTGGGGGGGGATTGAGCATGTCCTGTGTGACCCCCGACAGAGGGCTCTGGAAGCCGGTGCCTGCTCCCCCAGACTTTGCCTGCATGCCTGTCCCTTTGCTGATCTTGCTTTGGGTCCTCTCCTTCTAATACACCATGGCCATGAGTACAACTCCGTGGTGAGTCACAGTGAACTCACACGTGTCTATTTAAGGCACCCCTCATTCAGTGCTGTGCTAAGTAGGGGTGCTAACCCAGGATAAGATTTTATGCTTTATCTTAAAGAGAATTCAGTGAAATCATTCATAAATGTGTACATCAGGTCCCAAATTATGTTATAAAGATTTCAGTGTGGCTGGAGTCGTCCATGTGCTTAAAATGAGGGTCAAAGGTTGGAGGAAGAAAAAAATTAGGCTTGAGTTGGATCTTACAGATGGTGTGGCAGGCAGAATGATGGCCCCAGAGACACCTGCGTCCTAATCTGTGGCACCCAGGAATGTGTCACTTTACCGGCAAAGGGAAATCATGGCTGCAGATGGAATTGAAGTTGCTAATCAGCTGGCCTTAGGTAGGGAGAGCGTCCTGGATTATGCAGGTGGGAGATGCATGTACGCCCTGTGTAGTCACAGGGTACTTAAGTGTGGGAGAGGGATGTCTTAGTTCGTTCGGGCGGCTATGACAAAATACCTACACTGGGTGGCTGGTAAAGGGCACACATTTGTCTCTCACAGCTCCGAGGCTGGGAAGTCCATGATGAAGATGCTGGCAGATTTGGAGTCTGGTGGGGCCCCACTTCCTAGACAGCTGCCTGCGCTGTGTCCTCCCACGGTGCATGGAGGAAGGGAGTTCCCGGAGTCCCTTTCACAAGGGCACTACTCCCGTTCACGAGGGCTCGCCCTCATGGCCCGGTCACCTCCCAGAGGCTTCACCTCCTAATGCTGTCCCCGTGGGACTAGGACTTCAACATATGAATTGGGGGGGCAGAAACATTCCATCTATGGTAAGGGAGGCAGAAGAGAAGGGCGAGGTGATGTGATGTGGAAACTGGCCATCAGGGCTTTCAAGACGCAGGAGAGGGCCCTAAGGCCAGGAACACGGCTGGAAGAAGCTGGAAAGATGAAGGAACACAGTTCCGTGGACGTCTTGATCTTAGCCCCATGGCCCTCGGGTTGGATTTCTGACCTGCAGAAATGAAAGTATATGATGTTATAGCAGCAGTAGGAAATGAATAGAGATTTGTTGGGGTTTTGTTTTTGGTGGATGAAGAACAGTAAAAGGCACGGGCTGCAGGCTGTGACCTGCTCATCAGAAGCGCCAGGTGCCACCACTTGTCGATTTCCAGGGCGGGAGGCAGAACCCCCACCCCAACCCCTGCAGGTGACTCTGGCTTCCTCAGGAGGGAGTCCACACTTGTCCTCCTAGCAAGCACCTTTCCGAGCTCTCTTGAACACCCCTCACTAAGCCTGGCTTGGAAGGTGCAAAGGAGAGGTGGGGAATGGAAAATGAAAAGCCCCTCCCTGAGAAATCTCTTTGCCAATTCCCTTATAGAGCCCCCAACCTCCCCGGCGCCCCCCCCGCCGTGGTCTCAGGCAGCCCTCACTAATCTTATGAGGCAGGAAGGACTAGGCCAGACCGTACAAAACTGCCTTTTTTGTAGGGCAGAAAATAGTTGAATGTCAGCAATTTCAAATTTTACATAATATTCTCATCAACACTATTGTACAGACGGGGAAACCAAAAGTTAGGAAGGTTAAGTCATTTGCTCAAGGGCACACATGTAGTGAGCCAGGAACTTGGATCTGAACCAGGGCCCCACTGCAGAATGTGCCGTTCTGACGGCGGAGATGGGCTGTGATCCATCGGGTTGGGAGGGTGTGGTTTTCAGATGCCAGGGTGAGCATCTGGACGTGCTGTGACGCCACGGGGGAGCCCTCATTGAGGGAGAGGCTGAAGCTGGGGGCGCAGCGACAAGGACACACAGGGACATGGTACAGAGGACAAGGCGTAGGTTGCTGCAGAGACCAGGGTGAAATTTCCCCGGATTATGAGGTACTGGCAGGTCATGGGAGAGGCAGGAATGGTCAGAGACACTTTTTTTGTTCTTTGGGTCTCCTGTCCTTGGCACCGTATCCAGCCCATAGCAGTCGCTCCATCAACACTCAGTGAATAGGAACAGAACTAAACAGCTGAGGTTACAAGTTGTTCCCAGGCAGTGAGGAGTCACCACGTTGAAAATGCGGGGTTTCGGGAGCAGGTTCAATGCAAGCCCGTGTATGGTGAACAGCTCCTGTAATGTATATAGTGACACCTACTGCCGGCGATCCTCGCTGGGACAGCTGCAGGGCTGACTTCTCTGTATTTGTGCGCCCCCGGCTTGACCTAACTGGAGTGCCGAGTGGAAGTTTGAACACGCGTCTTTGTGCCGCGGGCAGCAGCACTGACCAGGAAGGAAATCTGGGCAGGCTGAAGGGGCACGTCGGTGAAAAGATAGGAGTATAAACATGCATGCGGGCTCTTTAAAGAATTTCTGAGTTCTGGAAGCTCGTCCCACATCATAGCGAACATATCAAAATACTCCCACATTATCCAAACATTCTTAAAGAATTTGAGCTTTGAAAAACGAGTTTTCATGGGAAATTATTTGGCGACAGGGAACTCATTTAATTTATGACTGCTATGACTTCCTGGCAATCATGGTATTAGGAAATTCTTACCAAGTGATTTCTAACTTCCATGTGGTTTTCAAATACGACCAAATGTTTATCAGCAGAGAAATTACAATTTGAAGTTGGCACGTTACGTGTTGGGGACTTTTCTTTGAACATTTATTAATTTCAAATTTGCAGCGTACTCTTTGCATTTGGGGGCCAATAACATTTCTTTTTCAGGCTCAAATATTCTCATAGGTTCTTGAAAAGCCTAATGAATACATGGCTCAGTAAACATTGCTGCTTGTGTACGACTGCTCAACAAAGACTCCCATTCTTCTCCCTATAAGGGTGCCCCACACCTGAATGTGGGGAAACCTCTTTCCTTCTGTCTCCAGGGTTTCCTTTGTCATTTCCGTCACCAGGGCTGCCCCCCACTCTACTCCCATATATAGTAAATGCCAGCGAACATCCCAGAGGGGCTGGAAACTGGACACAGACACGCAGAGAACCCTGCCTCAACACAATTGACATTTTCTGGAAAGGATTTATGATGAAAACTTCCCTAATTGGACATTCTAGCGCTAATATGCTAGACAATCCTGTTTTTACTTCTGATCTTCAGAGGGCAATGGTTTCAGATACCTTTTTATAGCTGGGCACTTTTTTTTTACACTCCCAGTCACTTGCCGGCGACTGGTCATCTAGGACCAGGTCTATAAGTAACCACAGGTCAGGTGTAAAGTTTGCCCCGTCTGGACATGTTACTAGGGGCTCCCTCCGGGTGGGGGGATGCCTCCCACGCAGCTCCAGGAACTTGGGCCACACTCACGGAGATGGGGGGTCACTCTGCTGCAGACAGGCCGTCTGCAGCACTGACCTCTGGGCCGCCACCATCCCAGCCGTGACTTCCAAGGATATCCACCTTGGCCCGTACCTGTGCGGCCTGACACCCATCGTCCATCCCAGAGCTCTGACTCTGGTATCTGAGCCCAGCCCCAGCCCCAGCGAGTCCGGACCTCCAAGTTCCGACCTCTGCCTCTGCCCCGAGGCCCCGGCTATGCCCTGACCTCCAGCGTCCGGCCCCCGCATCGCCCCGGGGACCTGGTAGCGCCTCGACTTCCGCCATCTGACACCCACCACCCTCCCTGCCCTTGACTTGGCCGCAAGGACGCCCCCGCAGCCCCGCGGGAATTCCTGCGGACACCCCCGTCCCGCGCCACCCCCGGGACCCCCAGCGCGGACCCCGGAAGGGCAACCGGACTGTCAGCGGCCGCCTCTGCGCAAAGTGATTTCTCGGAAAGCTGAGCCCTTCGAAGAAGGCGGGCCGGACGGGCCGCGCCCATTGGGCGGTGCTGGCGGCGCATCCACGCCCATTGGGCGGTCCCGGCTGCTCTCCCGCGCCCATTGGCCCGCGCGGCCGCCGCTCGGCACGCCGGACCCGCCCCGGCTCTAGACTCGCGCCGGCGCCCGAGCCCGCGGACGCATCTCCGGAGCGCGGCAGCGAGCGTGGGAACGCGGGCGGCGGCGCCGAAGGCGGGCGGCGGGCTCGGGCGCGCGCGGCGGCAGGTAGGCAGCCCGGCGGCAGGTAGACGGCCGGGCCGGAGGGGGCCCGGGCGGCGGGCCAGCCCGGCTCCGTCTCTCCTCCTCGTCTGCTTTTCCTCCTGAACCCAGACCCAAAGTCCAGGCGTTGAGCACGGGGTGGCGGGTCCCCAAGTGGCTGATGCTTGACCAAAAAAATCCCAATTTTCTGAGAGTCGGGTTTGCATGGAAGACCGTAGAATGGCCTATCTAGTGAGGGCAAATATTAACCCCTTTATTGCAAGACCTGTTCTCCGGTCCCGCCCAAGTCCTGCTGCCTGGAGTAGCGCGCGGAGGGTCACGACCAAGAAACTGCCCGGTGACCATCCGAGTTTGTGTGAGCTAGTTGGTGGAAGCGGGTGCACACTGGGGTTTTCTTCTGCCTGATGACAGTTAACGATTTCTGAGTGGGCTTTGAGGCCCTTCGCTCTCATCATATAGCCCAGTGGTCCCTGGCAAGAAAGCCCTAGCTTTGTAGGGCTCACCGCTAACAGGAGCTTTTGGTGCAAAATGCACCCCAGGACAAAGGGAGACTTTACAAAGTGAGATATGTTGCTTACCCAGGGCTGTGGAGTGCTTTATGAATGGAAACTAGATACTGAATGTTCCAGAATTTTAAAATAACATGTCGGGGGATATAACACATTTTTTTTTTTTTAAACCTAAGTTGGGAGCTGGTTCTGAGCATGTCCTTTGGGATTATGGTAGGTTCTTACAAGAAAAGCATTGGGAGTGGTTCAGTCATTTCAGAAACACTGGGGTCAAAGTGACAAATGGCTTTGATGCTTTTGGTCTGGGGGTTGGGGGATGTGGGGATTTGTGGCCGCCCTTGCCTGGGGCCCTGAAAGTTGTGGGAGGTGAGTCTTGCACCACCTCCTAGGCACATCCTGGAATCTGCCTTGGGTGGGGCCACCGCAGCCTCTTATCACCTCCTGCCTGGGAAGCCTGATAACCCGGGACCCATTTATTGGGAGGCAGATTAGCTCCAGATAGGACTTGGCCCATAAAGGGAATGATTATCTAAAAATCAAGGAAGAGGAAGTTATAAACATGTGACCGGGCTTATGAATTTTTTTTTCTGGCTTGACATTTGATGGGATTAATGCGTTAGCGTTCTATAAATCATAGTGGGTCATCATGGGACTAGAACCTTAGTCTTCTATTGCCACTTAGAGTCTTAGAGGTGATCTCAGTGAGAATTCAGGTGGGGCTGTCCACGTGCTTAGATCTGGTAACGTAACCTTAGTTTTTCTCTGCAGAGTGAGCAAAGTAAGACCCTCCTGCGGTGCCGGGGGGTCAGGGTGCCCTTCTGGGCTTCATTCAGTGTTTCCTCCCGTGAGCAAACAGGCTGGATTAGATGGTTTCTAAAGTATTGTCCAGTTTTCATATTATGTGATTCACTCTTCCTCTCATTGACCTCTTTCTTAACTTTATTTTCTCTTTTCCTGTCCTTATAAATCACCAAGACCATTGTCCTTAACAGTTTTGGGGGCTAAATCCATCAGAAAAAATTTTTTTTTAAAGATTTTATTTATTTATTTGAGAGAGAGCAAGGGAGAGAGAGATCACAGATTGAGAGGGAGACGCAGACTCCCGGCTGAGCAGAGAGCCCGGCTGAGCAGAGAGCCCGGCTGAGCAGAGTCCGACCTGAGCAGAGAGTCCGACGTGGGGCTCCATCCCAGGATCCTGAGATCATGACCTGAGCCAAAGGCAGACGCTTAACCAGCTGAGGCACCCCAAATCCATTAGAAATCTTGATAAGAAGGTGTTGACCCACTTTCTAGAAAAGCATTCATACAAACAAAATCTTGTTTTCATTTTCAGGAGGCTCCTGGAGGATGGACTCTGGTTTACAAACCTTGTGCTAAGGGGGTGAACAAAGTCCTAATGAGTGGGCACATTTCACTGAATTTACAGACCCACACTCACCACCCCTCCTGTAGTGTTCTGGCCCCTCTCGCCTCCTCCTGCACACAGCTCACTCCTCAAGCGAGGCGAGATTCTCCTGGCTTGCCCCCCTGAGAGGATCTGTAGGAATCAGTTCGGTGCTAGGTTATTTTCTGGGGGGTGCTCAGTGGTGGGGTTTCTTTTCTCTCCCTAGGTGTCCCTCCTAAATCTGTACCTTTCTTATTTAGAAGCATAAGGGACTGTTTAGGAATTCTGAGATGCTTGAGATGCAATTCCATTCACTTTGCCGCGGAGGAGAGCCTCAGAGAGGTTCAGGTGGTTTTCCTGAGGTCAAGTTGGAGAAAAGCCATTACTGGGTCTGCAGTTTCCAAATCCAATTCCTAATTCCACCCACGGTCACCCCTTTTACACCCAACAGTGGGCATGGAAAAGTTGCAGTCGGCACTTGGGATTCACCTTCTCCCCAGGACCTGGACCCCCCTTCCGATCCCACAGCCACCTGGAGGGTGGCTGGGTTCCAAGTCATGCACTTGCTTTATGGACCAGCATTGCTCTGGATGTAACCATATTCTTGGGGACATTATGTCTTGTCACTACTGATGGTTTCAAACCTATTTGCCCAAAAAGGTCACATTTTAATCAGAAGAATAGAAATGCCTTTTTTTTTTTTTGGTGGGCGTCTGTCCAACTGTCTAGGGGATTTCCACCCTTGTTCTTGTAAATGTGGGCTGTGCGTCGATATGGCATGATTGTTCTTTTTCTGTCTGCTATTGGGAAAGCTGCCTGTTCTGGCAAGAATGTTCTTCCAAAGGATGTCTTTGGGCACCCTGGTGAGGTCCCCAAATTCTATTGCCTTCTGGAAGAGTCTAGCCTGGCTGACTTTGCCCTGTTCTATGGCCCCAATTGATTTCCTTGCTTTTGTTCTAAGTGGTTGTAAGAGTTCCTGAGGAAGAAAGTTAGGATAATAATATCTGTTATTTAGAGAGAACCTTCTAAGGTCCAGGCATGGCCTCAGGTGCATCCTCTGAGCCCTCACCCCAAAGATGCTGAGTACTGATGGTTCTCCTGGGGCTTTAGCCTCCGTAGCTGGCACTCCAAGGTTAAATCATGATACAAGGTCACCCAGCTGGGAGATGGTGGGACTCAAATGGGACCCCAGCACTGTCTCATTCCCAAACTCTTGCTCTTATCAATAACCCATCTGTGAAGGAACAATCTAGGAGGGATAGCTTTGAGGATCTCTTCTTTCTTGGAGCACACAGATGTCATATTTGCTAAGAAACACTGGTCAGACTGGGCATCAAGTCAGGGAATTGGCTCTCAATGAGCTGCTCATTGAAGGACCTGGAAATGTAAAGGTGATTATTCCCCATCGCATGCTAAAAAATGGAATGGTGCCCTTCGATGTGGCTTGTCTTTGCCCAAAACGGAGCAAGGGATAGGCTGGAAGGAGTATCAGCTAGGAGGGACAGACATCTGGTACGGGGCAGTGGCAGATTTCCCGGGGAGCTCTCAGTTTTCAGGGGTTTGAGGCCCAGGGGAGGCACGGTCTTCCCATGGCAGGTGGCCCAGGGTCCCAGGGTCCATGGGTTTCTGTGAGGCTGGCACCTGTGTTGCAACCCTCTGATTTTGCTGTTGGCAGTTCTTGGCTCTCAAGTACGTGGGGTGTGCTGTGATTAATGAGATAATATCTGTAATATCACAGAACATGTTCTTTTCTCTCCAAGGATGTGTGACCGGAATGGTGGCCGGCGGCTTCGGCAGTGGCTGATCGAGCAAATCGACAGCAGCATGTACCCAGGGCTGATTTGGGAAAATGATGAGAAGAGCATGTTCCGGATCCCTTGGAAGCACGCTGGCAAACAAGATTATAATCAGGAAGTGGATGCGTCCATTTTTAAGGTACGGACTCGAACCCCCTCCACTCAAGCACCGGTGGTGTCTGTCTTCCCTGCAGGCCCATGCAGGTGTTGAGTGGCATCTCTCTTATTTGCTTGAAAATTAATCTAGTTGTTTTTTTTTTTTTTAAGATTTTATTTATTTATTTGACAGAGACACAGCCAGAGAGGGAACACAAGCAGGGGGAGTGGGGGAGGGGGAAGCAGGCTT